GACAGCCTTTGGCAAGGAAGAGGACATGAAAAGGAGCAGAAGGGGTTTGGCAGACAAAGACCGTCCCGTTTTATCATTTGCGGGTACACCAGTGTGGTTAGCATGGAGAGACGAGGCTCAGGGCCACTGCTGAGTCAGTCGCAAAACCTCCAGCCTCCATCCCCATTTCTGACCCAGGGCTGCTCTTCAGCTGACTCACACCCTGGTCCCCAACTCCCCTCCGTTCCCGTCCCCCCTCAAGCCACACGCTCTCCGTAATGCTGCCTTAGCTAAAGCAGCACCCCACCGGAGGAGCCGGTGGAGCCTTCCCTACAGCAGAGACGCCAATGCCACCGAGTCCGGGTAGGACTGACAGCACATGAAAAGAGCCACTGTGTTTTTACAAGTCCTGGAAGTGTGCTCATAAATAATTTTAGAGTCATTCTCTTGCAATAAGTTTCCCAACAGGATTTTTTGGAAGGGAACCTAATCTATTATAAAACAAGCTTTGAAAGGCCAAGTCCAGGAACGAGGAAAACAAGAGAGGCCAACAGGGACTGAGTTCAAGGTCACTTCATTTGTCTTTTCAGGAATCTATATGATATGTATAACACATATACCTACAAATGCATCTATGTACGTATTTATATACACAGCACTCAAAACTTCTTAGCCTAATTTTATTTACTTGCTTTATGCTAATGTTGTCCAGCTAGGCCTCAAAACCACTGCTCAGACTGTACAAGTCCTCTGCCCGGGAACCGTGCCCCAGGTGGGCTCTACCATAGAGACAGTGCTCAGAAGCCCAAAGCCATGCACAGGAATTTGCCACTGCCCTTCCTGCCATGCGCAACACCACCATCCGAAACGGCGTATATCCAGAAAGGAATGCTGGAGTCTACCAAGGCAGCTGATAATTACACATTAGCACTTTAAACAAGTTTCCTTAGTTCTCCTCAAGTGTAAGCATGTGTTTTGAAAAAACAGCATATATGTTTGAGGGGGAAGACACCATCACATTTGCATGCTTCAGAGAATCAACACCTCCCTTCAGAGTGAGTCTGGGGGTGTCTGCATGTGCCCCGATCTCTGCTCTCCTCAAGCATGAATCTGCAGTCATGGGAGAGGCAGAATTTCAGGTGCACAGCATAAGCCAGCTCCTGCCCTCCGATACATATACATACACACCTCAAACATCAGTGGGAGCCTCATTTATATGTGCATGCATATATCTGTATCATTTACACAGGTAAACTGCCAGTAAATCAAGTGCAAGTAAAGAACCTACTCCATACAGAGAGGTTCAAATAAACATTTAGAGAACACTCACATATGTCTTAAAAAGCCTATGGATACACTTTGCAACTAGCTGGATGAATTCTTGTTCATCATCGTATACGTTTTGCATGTTCAAAAATTTAGACAGACATTCAAACCGCTAGCATGGTGAAGAACGTATGTTAAACCTTTAACCTTCAATTGTCTAGCTACATTTCATTCCATGAAGAAAAAATAATCATTACAGATTCCAAGCACGCTACTCTGCATTGATTTGTAAAAGATGAAAATGAGAGAGAAACTTTGACAGGATAATAAAGCTGTGCTCTTTTTTTACACATATTTGCATAAATCACAGTATGATTTCTAGAGTTTTGGCTACTTCGGACAGACTTCTGTTTCTCTCTAGTACTGGTAAACTGTGCAAATGCCAGCTACAGAAACACCTATTCTGAACAGTGATCATCCCCATTTTACAAGCTTGTGATGGAAGGAAGTGTATGTTTGATACAGATTTAACATACATACAGACGGATTCCTACATTTTCAAAACCAGATTGTTTCTGCCCCAAGTTTGTGCATGTCTTTCTGCAGCTCTTTGGTTTTTTTCCTTCTACAAAGAATTAAGAGGGGAAAAAAAGTCCACAGTAAGGCAACTCTGAAATAGCAGCGAGTTTGAACTTCTTGAAAATTGTTCAACTTGTTTTATTCATCCAGCTTAAAAACATACCATTGTAGAAACTCTGAAAGCCATATTTGGCAACGTTCTTCAAGAGCAGTTAAGACACTGGATTATTGTTATTTAGTTGGAGTGGAACGTTCTGTATGTACAAAACTTGTGTATATTGTAATGAGTAACTTAAGTGTGTTTGAAGAGTTTATAAGCACAAAAATCAACAAGTACAGCATTCAGTTCTTAAATACCATGCAAAAAAAAATGAACAGTTTTGGGGTAAGGCAGCAGGTTCTTGGTTTAAAAAAAAAAAAAAAAAGAAAAGAAAAGAAAAGAAAAGAAAAGACAAGACCATAAGTAGTTTAGATCCTGATTGTGTTTTATCTCCTTTATCTCCTCCAAAGATTGGGAAGATTGAAAGAAGCCAGATTGCAAAGCCGTATCTGAGAACTGTGAGATGCAGACTCATTTACAGAGCTCATGGCCACAACCTCATATAAAGCCTTGAAGGCCTTTTTTTTTTTTTTTTCTAAATGATGCCTACTAGCAACCTTGGCTCTGTTTACAGAACTGCAATTGCAAAAATCCACTTAGCTCATTTTGTGATCCTGCTTTAACAAGTAAGATTTTTACTCCAGGCTGATCTACTTCAACCAGTCCCCAGGCAACCCTACAGAAGTGAGCACTGGGCCCCGCTGTCAGGATTTAGCCTGCTAACTCCTGTTTGCCTGCTTCACTACTAAAAATGGTAGCTGGCATAACATGCAAGAAAGACAGAAAGGTAAAATCACCAGTTGCACTGAAGGGAAGTTGTGGTATGTATATTGTAGCTTAATCTCTCTGCACTGGCATTTTGGTCGGACTGACGGCATTTCTGAGAATTCTTTATCTGTAAGTGGGGCTGTCGGAGTATACCACGGCAATGATCAGGGAGTCTGTAGTCCTCTCACAATGTGTCTCCTCTCATTCATGTTGCATAGATAGGCTTTCACAGCAGAGTGTGATTCACGTGTGAGGAATGTTTGGTAGATATCCCCTCAGAGCCTGCAGACTGCGGTTACTGCTTTTATTTGCAGCAATCTAAAGCTTCATGAAGTGCAGCTCTGGGCATGGTCCAGGTTCATAATGAACATCTACAAGCATTTCACAGAATCTCTATACGCACACTATTCACATACAGACATTCTGTATTCATTTGCAATTTGATCATATGTGCATCACAGGTATGTCCATTAATTTCTGCAAATACTTACACTATGCCATTAAAAATAAATCTTTACTCTCAAACAGTAGTATTACCATACTTTCAACACTGCAGGAGGTGTTGATTAGCCTCCTGCTTGGCAACCTTGTAAAGCATTACACAGGCTGTAGTTTACGTACCAATCGATTTCCACGAGTCTTCTCATCACACATAAAAATTAATCGCTCTGCTTAAGAACCTTGCAGAAGCAGGCCTTGGCTCTGTAATGTCACATTTGACAGAGAAGGACTTCATTTTTATATTTCATATTGGTCTTAAAACTGCTTTTTTTTGCGTTGCAAATACACCCCCAAGCTAACCATGGAAATTTGGACCTGGGGCTGTATGTGTAGATGAGGTGCATGTGGAATATCTTCTGTAATTTGTTAATCATCAGACACTTTCTCATTCCTTCCCTTTCCTGTCTGTTTTCATCACAAAGATGCTCAATGATATATGTTCAAGGCCTTTTCAAAAGAACAAAAAGGGAGGAAGGAAGCACAGGTCAAAAAGTGAAATGAAAGGAAAAAGGAAAGCAGAAAACCAGAGGCTGTTAGGAAAACAATGCAAATAGCTGTAATGGCACTCTTCATTTTCTAAAGAAAACTGTAGTAAGGCCATTTATTACCTTTGAAAATGTTAATAATCAGTGGGAACTTATTAAAAATGGATAAATAAAACCAGAGGCCTCTATATGCACTGAAGGTAACATGGTGTCCTTCTCCCTGGTGCTTTTGAGAAGTTTCAATGCAATGAGGCAAAGGAGAAGAGACTTTTCAACACAGCCTATCTACTGAGTCCATAAAGTAACACTTCGGTGATTTTAATTAAAAAGTCCTCCACAGTTTGGTGTCTAGTTACCCCCCAGGGTGCCCTTCCTCTCTGTTCCAGCTCTGTACAGTCAAGTAGGTTCTTAAAAATCCTTCTTGAGGCAACTTTTAGCAATCACTTGGCAGTAAATAAATGAATTGCTCCGAGACAAAACTATCAAAAACATTCAGTGATAGATGAAACAAGTGGTATGAACTAGAATATTTTGTACAGTTTTGTCAACAAGATTTATACCAACATTCAGTGGTTCTATCAAAATATGGTATTGCACACTCTGCTGAAGAGAAGATAATTTCCTGTCCTTTCCACAACCAAGCAGACCATGTCCTTCAGTAACTATCATATAGCAGTTATCCACACCGTGCTTGTGATAAAGCAGTGACAGGAAAGTATTTAAATCCATAAATAATGCAGGATATTCTTTTTGCTGTTGTTTAGCAAGTAGAGCCAATGCTAGGTGACAAAGACAGATCCCCAGATCTCCAAGCAGTGCTTTCCAGAGAACGGTTTAGAACTTCTGCTGAAACACACTTGGCCAGCCCTGGTCTCTTACAGCATGCACCAAGCAGCAAACTGAGGAGCCTGCTGAATATGCAATGATTTTCACCTTGCCAACCCCTGTTTAATAAAGCAAGTAGTTCTTGTCAGCCTGTAATGAATGAGGCCTACTGCCTCATGAGTTTACATCTCATGCCTGATTAACGCTGATGTCTAAAGAGGGCAGAAAACTTTTCTGCCATGACTGAGGCAGACTGTAAAGCAGGGTGCTTTTAGGATCACTCCCACATGCTATGCGCTTCCACAAAACTTGCAGAACAAAAATACCTGAAAATTTGTTCAAATCACCTGGTATCAACCATAGTTTCTAAAAGTATATTAAAGGGAGGGTTACATGAGTAGACACATTACATGTGATGGTAGAAACATTGCTTCTGCAGAAAAACAAGTTTAAAAGATTCCAAGCTATGAAATCCAAACCCAAAATTCTCCACTTACCTTAGTGTTCATACAAGATTTTCCACGTTTATACTCTTTGTGACTTGCTCTTTTATCAAGCTTGTTCCACAAAGCTTTGGCCTTCCATGTTGTCACTCTTGACTTCAGTTTGGTGTAAAAGTTTCTATTGTCCAAAGGATCTAATTCAAGTTGGCGAGTGAGAATATTAAAGGCCTGAATGGTACCTTTGCATGTTGACGCTTGTACAAAGTTTTCAAATATCTGGCCAGCTTGACTGTATTTTTCATCATCGTTTTCCCCCATGTTCTGAGAGAAATGTTTGAAAAGGATTAAGCTGGGGCTCTCGTGCTGGGGTACAGGTGATCAACACTCCCAAGTACTTTCAAGCATGTTATTCCTAGAAAAGACAAACACAGGTCATGTTAAAGCAGGTTCCATCTAACTAAATCAAACCCATAAACTGCATATCCAATACGAACATAAAAACACAGCATACAGCAACTGGATAACCAGGTACAAAATAGTTAATAATGGCATCCAAGATAAGCATTACAAGTAAACATAATCTACTTGCATTTTTCTGACATATACTTCACAATGACTGTCATAAAAACCCTACAAATTCAAGCCTGCTGCCTCAGAAAAAGCCTGCTGCTTCACTGAGAGCCTGAGGATTTCTTTAATTTTTGTTCAGTGATAGGTGCTACATACCAGATGAAGAAAAACCAAATGTCCAGCTGCTTTTCCGAAGCAGAATTTATGTCACAGCAATTACACCTCTGGTAACACTTTGTTCTTAAGAATTCTTAGATACCTGAAACCGAAAGTCATCACTATTTGAGGGAATTTTCTGCCATTGCACAAGCTAGTGCCAACAGCACAGCTTAGCCAGAGCAATTTAGAATTGGCACAATCACTTGCCACAAGCAAATGTACAAAACAGGGTAAGGAGAAACATTTTCACAAGTTACACCAGAACTGAACAAACAGAAAACAAGTAACCACAGAAAGCTCCCCTTTTTCTAACTCTCTTGCCAAAACGAGAAAGGGTTTGGTGCTTTAGTGGATAGAAAGGAATTTTATCTTCACGTCTCCACATGTTAAATGCTAAAGTTATGTGTTTGGAGTCTTACCTTGTCAAGTGCTGAGGATATAAAGTAATGATGTTTGGCCCACTGAGCCCCATTCGCTTTTCCTAGTAACATGATCACTGTCAAACTGTGCCTGATATTCCAGATAAATACCCTTACATTCTGTAAGAGCAATGCTATTCTAAATTAACATACGTTTGCAAGATCTAAAATACTTTCATTGTGGCACTCCCTTATCCTTCTTTGACCTTGCTCTCAATCTCTAATGGGGAGCGTCTTAGAGTCAGCCAAGGTCCACAGAAAATATCCAACTGGCTTTCACATTTTCCAAGAAAATTCTTACAGATTATGTATAAACTTGTCCTCAGAAAAGAGTCTACATGGACTCGAGTCCAGAGATTTAAGTCATGTATTCTTTTTCTTCCATTATTCCAATTATCTACCAGTCCAAGAAATCAAAAACTAAATCAATGCTTGCCTAGCCTCCCAAATGATTAGTTATTTTGCTTGGAACATCATCTGTGGGCTGATAGTTTTAGAATAAATTGTTAAAAAGGCCTTTGAAGTTATTCTTTTTAATTAAACACTGTTCACAAACTATTCACTCTCTGCTTGCATTTCCTTCAAAGAAGGAAAGAGAAAACATAACCAGTGTATTTAAGTAAAGAAGAGACCTACCATGTCTATCTTCCAATCCTCTAATACAGAAAAATATTATGCAACTTACTAAAGAGATCCCATGGGGAGATATAAGGAAGCATTTGGAATACTCGCATTCCCTGGCTGCACTCAAAATAAATAACCTTTGTGTGCACATCATCAGTCTGTTGTTGGTTTGTGGGTAAAATAAATTGGCAATGTCGAGAGTTTGTACATTTTCTTAGACCAAATGTCATGATTAAATATTTGGTGCCAAGAATAAGTCAGGAAATTTTTGTTTTCCCCTCTGAATACTTCATTTATAGCATGCTCCATGCCCTTTTCTGAAGAGCTTTGAGGTAAAAGCACAAACATTTTATATGCCTGACTTCCAGAAGGTCTAATTTTTCAAGAAACCGAGTGCCATGAACTCCCACTGACTCCAAAGGAGCTGAGGACAATCCAGCAGTTTCCAGGTTCAAGTCTTCAATGATTAACAAGCACAAACCCCTCCAACAATTGCATGCCAGCAGGAGGGAGCCCAGCCACCCTGGCTGCCCCAGTGCAAGTGCGAGGGGGGCCCAGTATGACCCTCACCAGCCACAGCTTTGGGAACACAGAGCTACACAGTGGTTTTGGGGTCAGTCCAAAACCAGCCAATACATCCAGAAGTTCCTACGGGAAGAGGAAAGGTAAGGGACTGCCATGCAGAGTCTGATACAGCTAAATTATATGTCTGGGCTTAAGCTTTACACACAAGTGACATTACAAGGGAAAGGCAACACAGGACAACTAGAGATAGCAACAGCACAGTGAAAGATGCTACGATACGACTTAAATAGCGTGATATACAGGCACCCCAGGATTTGAGACAGTGAAAAAAAGGAATTCAAATCAAGGATAAACACTTTACATGACTTATATACCTGCCCGAGATGTTTTTTTATAATAGAAAAGCCAAAGTATTTTTCTTTTCTCTCAAAATAATTATGAAAAGCTTCTCGGGGAGTGGGGAAGTTTCAGTGAAACATTCCACTTTGGCTGTTTCAGCTAAGACAGTGGCAGCTAGATTAGGTTTCCTTAATTCCTATAAACTCCCATTGCTATTGCCTCAGTGCTCCCAAAGACTTTGACCGACCTAATAGCTATAAAACAATACTTCCTCTCCATTGTTTTCTTTAGCTCACCACAAGGCTTACCACGTTCATATAACGCAAAGATCTTTAAAAGTTAACTCTGGCATAATTGATAAGTCAGTATGATCACAAGCTCTTTAATTTAGTATATTTTCTGCTCAGAAAGAAGAGATTTTTTTATAGCCTCAGCCATTCAACCCAGGAAGGGAGGGAGGGAGGTAAAAGCTCAAAGACTAGAGCCGTATCTGAACCAACCAAGGAAGAAAAAGCAGCATGTGCCAGGGCCAATAATGGCGAGAAGACAGAAGAGACGGCCAGCAGGAGCCACCGCAGGCAAACGGAAAGGAAAAAAACATTTTTACCATGATGCAAACCAGTGGCAGTAGGTGTTGCGCACACATGCTCCCACACAAACACATGCAGCAGGCCTGGGCTTCCTCTGCCTTTCCACGAGGGAAGAGAGCAGCTGGGAAGGACAGCCAGGACACCTTCCCCAGCCTTACAAATTCCCTCTTCCAGCACCACAAAGCGAACACTGAGGCTCTTCTTTTCAGGCACAAAATCTTCTCCTTATGAACTTCCAAAACATTCCCATCTTGTCCACGCGGAAAAACTGTGGAGTGGCATCTCAGCAGAGACATTTGCTCACCAGTGAAGCATTTCTCCTCACTGTGTCAGAGGTCATGCTCTCCAAAAAAGCCACATTTTGTGGTCAGAAAGGCAGGATGAGACAGGAGACTCTGGTTACTGGGGTTTCTGGCTTGCTGGAAACATCACTTCCCCCCCCCCCCCCCCCCTTTTTTTGGCATGAACACTGCGTTGACAGATGACAGAGAGGAAGATGGTGCTCTAAGTAAATACAGATCGTAGAAAAATATGTGTTTTTCTCTGAGGAGTCACCAATAGTTCACTGAAGTATTGTACATAACTCACTAGAAACAATGCAATAAGGAGAAGTAGTTGAATGGAGTAATTAAAGTTTCCAGTTCTGTAACTGACTCGAAGACTTAAGAGGCAATGCGTAAACTGCTCACTTGTAGTGGGAAAAGAGCCTGTTTGGGGAAATTCTTGGGTTCTTAAAGTATTATCATTTACCCTTTTTCTTCCTTTGTCGTACAGATCACTCTAAGGATGAAACACAGATCCAAAAGTCTTGTCAAGGTGAGCATTGATGCTGAAACTACAAACTATGCTTTTCAAAGTGATCACTGAACTTCCGGAAGCACAATTCGAAAATATAATGAAGTTTGTTTGAAACTTTACTGAAGTGCTACAGAGCCCAATAAAAATTTGGGCCACAGAAAGGAAGAAAATTAGAGAGCAGGAAATAGTCTGGACAAACTGTTCTTTTAAGTCAGAACTGAAGCATCCATGGGTTAGATTCACAGCTAACAAGAACTGTCATTTTAGGTTCCACACATGATGTATTAAGCACATACAAGAATTTTGCCTTCCACGCAGCTGCCCATGGTAGTACAGCAGACCCTGGAGGGCTCCCAGACACAACGTGCATACGCTGGGAAGAAGAAGGGTTGCATTTTGATCATCCCTTCTACTCTAATAAGTTTGCCCAACCTCCTTTCTGCCTCCAGTTGCGGGTAAACAGGAATGTCAGATAGAAAATCTGAGGAGTTCTGTTCATGCCTGGTAGTCACCCGAGGAGAAAGTGGAGCCCTTATTACAACTTAAAGGAAAGCAATAGAAAAAGGAGAGAGAGAAAGAAATTAAAGCAAAGGTGCATGTACAGATGTATAGGCATGAAAGCAAATGCCTCCAGTCTTGACTGATATTTCCTGTCAGTGAAACAAGCTCTGTTTCTACAGATGATTTTGAGAATAGTGAAAAAATGCCTCCATTGTTAGGGTAATTCCACTAATTGTCGCTAGTTAAATGGATGTATGGAGCTGGTTCATGTCTGCACATGAAGCCTTCCAGCATAACACGGCAAGCGATAAAATTGACATATAGGAGTCATTAAATGAAAATAACTTAGATTTTTGACAGCAGTACCATGTGTATTGCTCATCAGCAGTGTTTTGAGGTAGTATACTCAAAAATTAAAAACCTTTTTTGGCTTAGTTGTCCCACTGGAGAGAGAGCAACCCTAATTTTAATTGAGACTTGCAGCACTTGAGTCCTTCCTTAGTCCCTTAATGCTCTGTTTCTAATATTTGAGAACATGTTCCTCAGGGAGATTGGAAGAGAATTAAATTCTTCGCATTTCAATATCACTAATCCTGATTCCATTTTCAATACAGCCCTAATTCTGCCATGTTTACAGAAAATAAATTCTTTTATTAAGACTTCAGCTTGGCATGCAAGATACAATACATTTATTGTTTGCTTAAGGTTAGAAACATCAACAGAAACGAAAGAGTGGATTCTGCAGCATCTGTAGTAATCATGTACTTTTGGCCTCATCATCAGTAAAAACTAG